GCAAACAGAGAGTGGAGATGCTGCACCCCCAGCCCACTCCATGCCCCGCATGCTCTCTGCATAAGGATCAGGGCTTTCAGACCACCTCACCCCGCAGCAATGGGGCTGCAAGCCTCACCATCCCTCCCCCAGCCCCTTGCTTGGGGTGCCAGAAGGGGAGGGGGCACCCACGGGTGCAGGGGACCCCCGGGGAAGGTGACAGGGCAGGAAGAGCAGCCAGACATTGCTTGGCATCCCTGCGCAGAGCGTGGTTTTGTTGGGGGGGTCCGGTCACATCCCCACCGGGTGACTCGGCAGCAGGGCAAGGCGAGCTCACGTTCTTGATGATGTTCACCATCTCCCTCTTCAGGAACTCCTGGGTTTCGCTGGCTTTGTCCAGCGCAGCTTTCGTCTGTGCCTGGGGGGAAAAGGTGCTCTCAGCAGCGTGATGGGGAAGTGGGGTCCCCACATCTCCCCCACCCTGCCTGGCAGCAGTCCCTGGGGCGCAGCATCTCTGAGCTGCAGTGTCCCCAGCCATCACACACTACCCAAGTGTCATGGGGGGCAGGGAGCCTGCACCTGGCAGGGTCCGTGGCGTGGGCCCCCTCCCTCTGCCCCATGAGCAGCCCCTACAGTGCATGCTCGGGAAGTCCCACAGCAGCCACCAGCCCCCCGGACTGCAGGTTAGCCCCCACCATCTCCACTGCGGGACCTCACGGGTGCTTTGCAGGGTGCCCCAGAGTGGGGTGTGCCCAGGACGCCCCCTTGTGCCGCTTACCTCGAGCTGGACAGCCCCTTTCTGCACTGAGTGGATGTTCTCCTTCAGGCTTTGCTGGAGATGGAGAGAGAGGGGTCAGAGGGATGGACCCCATGGCTCAGCTAAGACCCCAGCAGCAGGCTCCGAGCTCTGGGGGAGCCCAAGCCAGCATCCCCAGGACCTTCCCCACCCTGGCTCTGCTCACCAGAGGCCTGGAGAAGCTCATCTGCATCTCCTTGTCCAGCTCCCTCAGACTGCGAGCATCAGTCTTCAGGTGCTCCTTCACATCCGTGCCCTGTAGGAGCTGCAGTCAGCGGTGCCCCCCAGCACGGGGTCCCTGCCCCACCACAGCCATCTGATAGGGGCGCCGGGCTGGAGAACAGAGCTGGGCGAGGGTGAAGGGCCTCGCCTCCCATCAGCACCCAGGCAGGTCTGCAGTGGCTTTCGGGACAGTGTGGCCATGGCCCCAGGGTGCTGTGGTCTCTCACCTCCTTGTCTGCCAGCTGCTCCAGCTCTGCAGCCAGATCTAGGAGGCTTCCCTGGGTCATGTTCTGATCCAGCTGGAAAAGGCAGAGACAGAGCCGTGAGACTGGGGACACGGGGCTAACGGGGGGCTATACCCCATCCCTATGGGGCAGAGTGGAGCCAGGGCATCCCAGGTGGAGGAAGTGCCCAGTTGCCCCAAGGCATGACATGGGTGGCAGGGGACACCCTGGGAGCCTGCAGCAGGACTCCCACAGCAGCAAAGGGGAAGGGGCAACGGACCCCCTCAACACGCATCCGGTCCCCCCTACCCCAACACCAGGGTGTTCCCAGCCCACCTGCTCCAGGGTGGGGGTGAAGTCGGGGGGCTGTGCAGCCCAGCTGGCATTCAGCAGCAACTCCCTCTGGGTCTGGTTGAGCAGTGAGATGGGGCTGAGGGTGATGTTCATCTTCTCGAAGGCCGTGGAGATCTCTCCTGTGTACTGCTGGGGCGAGGGGAGCCATGACGGGGGCACAGTACCAGCCCCTGGCTGCCCCTGCCAGCACCAGCCCTGCACCCCCAGCTCTGCCCCCCTGGACCCTGGCACCCCCGCACTCACCTCACTGATGTTCAAGACCTCATCCAGGGATGTGCTCTGGTCCAGGTGCAGTGTTTGCCACAGGGCAGCATCTCGCTGGCACTGCCTGCGGTGGGGGGCACGGGGCTGAAAAGGGGCAGGCGAGGGCCGCCCCCTCCCAGGAACGTGCCCTCACCCGTATGGGCAAGTTGCACCTCGCTCCTTCCCTGGCAGCGCTGCCTGCCCGCAGCCAGGGCAGGTAGGGCAAGTTGCCCCCATCCTGGGGAGCACCTGAGGCCACCAAGCAGCCATACCCCTCCCCAAAGACACAGCGCTGGAACTGGGACCCACCTGTAAATCTCCGAGAAGTTTGCTGTGCCACCCTCCTGGCCCAGCAGCTCTGACAGGTTGAAGCCAGGGATCAGGCCAGGGGTGTCCAGGAGCTGAGAGCAAGGGAAAAGATGGAGAATCTAGACAGAGTGCAGGGCAGGACACCCGGGAAGAGCATCCCAAACTGGCCAGCGCTGCTTTCTCTCTACCAGCAGCCCTTGGAAAGGCAGCGGTGGCTCCAGACAGGGGCGTCTCCCCATGGGGAGCTCACCTGGAAGAGCTGCTGGCTGCGCCAGGACTCGCAGACGATCATGTAGGTGTTCCCGCCCAGCACGAAGGTGATCAGCACTAGCAGCATCAGCAGCCAGGAGAAGATGAAGCTGAAGCCGACCCCTCTGCCAGAACAGAGGTGCCCCGGCATCAGTGCTAGCACTGCCTCCAGCTGGGAAAGCCTAAAGCCTGCACAACCCTTGTGCCCCCCGGCAGCACCAGGAAGCATCACCATTTCCACAAGCACATCTCCACCCTGCCTTCAGACCCTCGAGCCCGGCCGGGCTGCACCATGGGGCTCAGACACCAGTGTGGCTTCCCCCAGGTTTGCAAGCCACCGCCTGCCCACAGAGCCACGGGACCATGCACAAGCTGCCAGGCCCCCGCCAGCAAGGGGGGAACGGGCTCTGCTTGAACACCATCCGCTGGCACCGTGTTTTACCCTTGCATTTACCACCTGCACCGTGAGTTGCCACGGGGCAGGCATTAAGCCGCAGTAATTTGATGATTTAGGAGCTTGAGCATCCCCAGGCCGGTCCTGCCCACCCATCCCACCGCTCCCGCACATGTCCTCAGCAGCTGAGGGAGCCTCACGCCATGAAGAAGTTCCCACCGACGTTGGAGAGGCTGCTGCGCTGGGTGGGCAGCACGCTTTCCTTCAGCCCCAGGGGCCCCAGCAGCAGCCCAACAACGTTGCAGATGACCACCAGCAGCACCATGCAGCACAGGAGGATACCCACTCTCCACCTGGGGCAAGAGGAAGGGCAGGAGTCAGACAGCAGGACCTGGCACCCTGAGCAGCACCCAACATCCCACCAGCTGCCTTCATGGGGAAGAAAAAGCCCCCAGGTACCCTGGCAGGGAAAAGGCACAGGGGGCTGCAAGGCACAGCTCTGGCTACCCTGCACCCACAGCCCCACCACCAAGCCCCCACCTCTGGCAACTGGAGGATGGAGAGCTCGAGCCTCTCCGGACAAGGGAGCTGGGGGATGCAGCAGCCCCTCGCCTACCTGAGCCTATCCAAGGTGATGACCGGCTCCCTGTGCTCCTCCATCACCGATACAGCATTGTCCATGAAGGTCCCAATGCTCTCTTCCACATCTGGAAACGGCAACTTCTCCTGCAAGCTCCTGATGTCCTGCCTGATGAGGCCCAGCTCGTCCTGGGTCTCTGCAGGGGATGGGGACAGGTTGGCACTGCCAGCTGCCGCCCGGGTCCTGCTTGCCTGGAGCAGCGGGGACCCAGAGAGGATGGGAAGGGGGCAAGTTGTGGTCAGCACGATGGCACTTGGGGACAGCCAGGGCTACAGGCAGCAGGGTGGCAGCAGGGGAGGTCTCCAGGCAGGGATGGGGTGAGAAGGGAGGAGGGGGCCCTGGGAGAGGGATAATTCGGCACACGGGGCACAAAGCCCTGCTTACTCGTCACCACGTCCTGGGACTGCTCTTGCACCTTGGCGGGGGTCGTGTCCAGCGTGCTGTTAACCTGTGGGGGGGGGGCACAGCATACAGCTCACGTCCCTGCCCGCAGCCCTGGGCAGAGCAGCACCTCCTCTCCTTCCACAGATCCCTGCGGCACAGGACAGCCAGGCTCCCTGCAGCACCCCGTCCACCACACCAGCGCCCAAGGGCGGTGGGGACAGCAGGCAGACCTCCGGCCAAGGCAGACCTCCGGCCAACCCTTCCCTCGTGTGACAGCGATTAACTCCTGGTGGGGCTCTTCCCAAGCCACCCTCTCACAGCGCAGCACCGGGAGCACACAGCCCTGTGCCCGGGTGTGGGGGGGACCCTTTACCTTCTCTAAATCGGCCGCTATGTTGGAGTCGGACACATTGCCCAGCGCCTCCAGCTGCTGCGCCACACCTGGGATCTGCGGGGAAGAGCCTG